GTTATGGCAGATCACCCTGTCTTACCATGCCAGCAAGAAGTGTATTCTATGCCTCTTTTGGCCATACTTTCGAAATGTATCTGACTGCAATTATGGCTAGACCTGGATGAATCTGACCGCAATCACGTCCAGGGCTTAGTAGAAAAAGTCCTAGTGTGAGTATTCCTCTTTGCTTTATGGCTAGACCTGGATGAATCTGACCGCAATCACGTCCAGAGCTTAGTAGAAAAAGTCCTAGTGTGAGTATTCCTCTTTGCTGGCGATGGCACCCCTAGCAAAACGTGCCAGGGAGGCAATGAACGCGTACCTGGTCAACCTTGGTCGGTGCTGGCCTTGGTGGAGAGCCTTCTGAGGACAGTATAGCACACTGCACCCACATCAGGCTGAATTTTGCAAAAAGGCTGAATTTTGCAGAACTTGGGTTACATACAGAAAGGCCAGTTGTGTGTACCGAGGGGCCTAGCTCAGTTTGCACACGGATTAACTGTTGAAATACAGACCTCAGTTCAAAACCAGATGGACCAGATTAACGAAATTATAAAAATACAAATAATAATAAGAATTTTAAAAAAAAAAAAAAAAAAAAAACAGAAAAGAAAGGTCTGCCGTGTGCGTGTCTGTCCTAGAGAGAAAAAAGACTGGATTGGCTAGATTCGTCGAGCACATCAGATCACGTACTGGTCGGACTTGCTCAAATGAATCCACTCAGACTAGAGCTTTCTGTTCCTTAGGGCTCTTTTCAAAGACCAGAGTCATGCAAGTTGAGCAGGTTCTCTGCCGTTATCTAAGAGGTTTCTGTTCCTTAGGGCTCTTTCGAAAGAGCAGAGTCATGCAAGTTGAGCAGGTTCTATGCCGTTAATCTTGGAGTACTGGTTTTGCTACTCTATGCAAAGTCCGTTGCTCGGTTACCCATGTCTGCAGATATGGGTGTCTGGAAGGGCTAAGAAAATTTATCATCCACAGAGAGAGAGAGAGAGCGTAAATTACGAGCGAATGGCAAGATTTTTCTATCGAACAGTAAAGATCGCAAAGTCGTTGGATGTTTGGAGAGAGGGAGAGAGGGAGAAAAGGGAGAAAAGGGAGAAAAGGGAAAGGTAGAGTCTTTAGCTTTGGAGAATGGCAAAGGTGGCAGCAGTACCACCACAAAAACATTTCCCTGGATTGGCAAGTCAAGGAGAACGTTTACAGAGAAGTTTGTCCCCCTACCTCCTTGCTTATTGGAAAGAGAAGCAAGACAGCAAGAACGGGTTTGGGGACCATATCGAGGAGCACATCATCAAAGCCATACACGTCATGGAATGCCACATCCGCTGGAACTCCTAGCCCTTTGGAAAACTGCAAACAAGGCAATCAGAACACCCAAGACAAGTCAGATGTAAGCCAACCATGTGACGGATAAGCCAACGAGCTAGCCGGCCAGTTGAGGTCCCAGAGCAGGATATGGGATCATGGCAGAGTGTCCTTCAAAATTAGGGGGTTATCAGCATGAAGTCTGGAAAAAAACTTGTCCATCTGCTCTGCAGGGGTTTGCAGACGATCCTCCCTTGTCAATTTGCACCCCCAGACCTGCCCTCCCCTCCCCTCCCCTTTTCACAGTTAGCCTTGCAGGTCCCACCGGACTATGGGCCTCGCCACACTACGGTAGTTCACGGAACGCAAAAAATAAAAAAGAAAAAAAGAAAAGAAACTGTCGAGTGCATCTGTTACTACTTTTAGTAACGGATGCATCTTTCCACCATCTGCGTGAAGATGCACTCCACATTTCTTTCATTTGGTGAGTAGTGTGGCGAGCCCCTATGTCTAGGTCTTTGCTAGGAGATGATCTGACGGTCGCAATTGGATCTTGCCTTCGTTAGGAAATCAACTTCACAACCATCGTTAGATTTGTTTTTTTCATTTTTATTTTAAACCACCAGTACTCGGCCCAGCTATCGCCCGTGGAAAAAATAGTGCAGAAAAACGTTTCTAGTCGAATGAATTTGGGCGCTCCTGTAGTGGCCCGTACATTTCCTAAAATAGTGGCTTGTTAACGGGCACGACTTTAGGAAGTACTGGTGCCAAA